ATTTAGATAACATGGACTTCAAAAGTTGTGGATGTGGATGTCCAAGTCTTTGGTGCCATGTGGTGGAAGAGTCACATGTGGTAGAAAACAACATTTTCTGAACAGGTTGAGGCTGAGGAGGACGGAAGAGAGTAGAGGCCACCATTACTTGGACTAGTGAGGAGGATAGTGTGTGTGAACATGTCCTTCACAAAAAAAAGTAGAGTTAAATTCAAAGTACACATGGTTATCAAAACAGGATTTTTGAACAGAAAGTAAGTTTTGTTTTATGTCAGGTACATGTAATATGTCCTTAAGGGAAAATGCTTTGTTTGGTTAATAAAGTTGTGAGCAACCAATGTGTAGAATGGGTAAACCCTTACCATTGCCAACATGAAGGTTGTCCTCACCGTAGTAGGCCTCAGAGTTATTGAAGCTAGATAAGTCTGGTGCAACATGATGGCTAGAGCCAGTATCCAGAAGCCAAGCTTGTGACTGGTAATATTTAAAGTTGGCAGAAGGTGGTTGTCTCATCCTCATAGGATCAGGGTCGCAATTGGGGCGATGAGACGGGATATGACCAAGCCCACACTTATTGCATGTGCCAAAAACATTGTTTTGATTAGAAGCCCAACTAAATTGATTATGGTTACCTCCTCCTTGACTTCTGTTGTTGTAATTTCCTCGTCCACGTCTAGAATCAAGTCCACGGCCACGGTTATTCCCAGATCTGTTGGTGTAAAAAGGCATGTGCAAGATGTGCATTAACAAGCTGAACTTGAAGACCAAGTTGTAAGAGAAGCTGCTGAATAGCTTGAAGTTGATCCGGTTGAGGAATAGACGAGGTGGCACCAGGAACCGCTAAGTTGCGGTTGTTCGTGACAGTCGATAATGGTTGAGGCGAAGAGATGTCAGTTGCAGAATTCTTGATCATGTAGTCATGGTCTAATAGCAGGCCATGAAGTTCTGCAAAGGTAGTTGGGAATTGGCGACCAAGGAGTGTTGACTTCAGCCCGTTGTATTCTTCTCTAAGACCCGAGATAACCAGCATCACCAAATCTTTTTCTTTCATTGGTTCTCCTATATTGGCGAGAGCATCAGCGTATTCCTGAGCCCTGGTTAGGTATGCGGAGGAGGTTTTAGCAGGCTTCATCTCTAGTTTAAGAAGCTGGGTTTTTAGGGTGTATTCCCTAGATGATGTGTGAGGAGCATAAGCACGTTCAAGAGACAGCCAAAGATCACGGGAGATAAGTCCTTGAACGTGTTGGAACGACGCCTCAGAGATTGTAGGAATAATCAGCATCCGTACATGTGCATCATTGGAAACCCATGCTTTGTAGTTAGGATTCGGTTGTGGTGGGGGCAATGTGGTGTCGTCGATGTCTTTTCCAGATAATGAGATAGTCATTGGTGGAAAGGGAATGGTGCCATCAACATAGCCGAACAGGTTGTTGTGACAAGGAACGGTTGAACCATTGCCTTCCAATAGCCATAGTTGTTTGGTGATAAAGTGAAGCCAAACTTGTGGGAGTTATGGGTGGTTTTCTCGGTTGGAGTGAAAGCTGCAACAGTTGTCATTGGACAGAAGGTGAGGCAGCCGTAGGGTAGAAGATGGGTGTGGTAGCTTTAGGGTTGCCTTGTGATGGCAGAGGGTGGTCGGCAGAAGGTGCGGCAGCCGTAGGGTAGAAGACAGGTGCGGTAGCTTTAGGGTTGCCTTGTGATGGCAGCTGTAGGGCGGCAGTTGTAGGGCAGCAGTTGTAGGGTGTCTAGTGTCGGCTCTGATACCAAGATAAACCTGGTAATTTGTGTATTGTATATCGATTACAATCAGGGGTATATATATATATATATATATAAGAGATACATTTACACGTTAGACCCTCTAATATAATTATGTATGTATATCACACTTAATTGTCTAATAGCGGGATCTTGGAATCGAGTGATTCATTCGACAAATGTGAATCATGATTATTAGGCAAGATGACAGGCACCTTTTAAAGGAAAGCCTGAAAGAGCTAACGAGTTGTTAGGAGTGATACATATTGATGTGTATGGGCCCATCAACACAGCTACAAAAAATAGTTGATGTTACTTCATTACTTTTATTGATGATTACCGTAGATATGGGTATGTTTATATAATGAAACACAAATCAGAAAGCTTTAAAATTTTCAAAGAGTTACAGAATGAAGTAGAGAACCAACTTGGCAATAAGATAAAAGCCTTTCGGTCTGATCGAGGTGGCAAATACATGAGCCAAGAATTCACTAATCATCTTAGCGAATGTGGAATAATTTCACAGTTCACTCCTCCAAGAACACCACAACATAATGGTGTGTCTGGAAGGAGAAACCATACCTTGCTAGATATGGTTAGATCTATGATGAGTCATACCAAATTGCCTAAAAGTTTTTGGGGATATGCCTTGGAGGCAGCCGCCAAAATACTAAACAATGTACCAACCAAGAAGGTTGATAAGACCCCATATGAGATGTGGACAAGGAAGATCCTAAATCTATCATACATGAAAGTCTAGGGCTACGATGCTTATGTTAAGCAAGAAGCTTCTAGGAAGCTAGAGCTTAGATCTAAAAGGTACACCTTGTAGGATATCCCGAGACTATTGGTTATTATTTCTACAACCCCAGTGAGAACAAGGTGTTCATAGCACGTAAGGCTGAGTTCCTAGAAAATGATTTTCTAACTAAGCCTAATATAGGGGACAGAGTGGAACTTGAAGAAATTCGTGAAACCCTACAGATGCACAGGTTGACACTGGTATTCAACAAGATGTCGATCCCTCATCACTAATCAATTGTTCGAGGGTGTAAGCGATACATATGGTGGTGCTACGATGAAGGGTTACCATCAGGGGAAGAAGAAAGATGTTGATGGTAACCCCCCATCGTAGCACAAAAATATGTATCGCTTACACCCTCGAACAGTTGATTAGTGATGAGGGATCGACTCTAGGGATAGGATTGATGGTGGTTGGATGCTAAGATAATGCCCAAAACCACCTAGGAGGTGTTTGAAAGACACATAAAAGCGGAAAGTGGTTATGGAGGTGGTGGTGAGGACAAAAATGGTGAAGGATGCGCTGGTCTGGAAACAGGAACAGGGAAGGACGCAGTGAAAAGAAAGGGGTAATGTGGAGGCCTAGTTAAGTAGGAAGAAGAAAGGGGTCACCAAGAGGTTGGTTAAAGGGGAAGAAAAAAGGGTTGTGGTTTTTCATCGATGGTGAGTCCTAATATTTATTGTAGCACCCGGGATTTTCGTGCATTTTACTATTTATAAACCGAGCCTTTATTTTGGATTTTAAGTGGTATAAGACTAAATTCTGAGTTGGAAAGCTTGGGTTGTATGTTGGTTTGGATAGGTGTTGGGTTATAACATTAAAAAAGATTCACTGGGTGAATTTTTGGTTCCACGCGACCTTCCGGGCGACCTCAAGTCACGCTGGAAGCCGCATTATACACTGTTTGGTTGTGCTCTAGTGTCCGGGCGACCTGAGCCACGACCTTGGTTGTGCGTCAGGTCGCGTAAAGGGTTATTTGATGTTGTAACGGGGCCGAAAATAGGGTTTTACTCTCATTTTTCTCACCAACACTTCTCTCGCTTTTCCCTCCTCCCTCCTCATTTATTGTGATTATTGGAGCTTTTAATCCACTTTTCCAACCAATCAAAAGGGTCTAAACAACATTTAAGCGAAGGATTTATTTAAGAAATATTTTATTCTACAATATTTAATTTTCATGCAACTTAATAAAAAAATAAAAAAAATTGCATGTTTTTTTAGATCATAGCAATGAAAAATGAAAATCACTAATAATAGATTAAAATAGGTTTTTATTTTTATTTTAGTTAAATCATCAAAATGATGTGTCATCCACATCATCTCATTAAACTCACACAATCAAAAAAAGTCAAGGGTTAACCGGTTTAAAAGGTAACAAATTAGTCATTACTATTATGGGTAGATTTTTTAAAGTACAATGCCTTAATAAAAAATGATTTGAAAGTATATTGCTATAATAAAGAAAAACAAAAGTAGAATGTTATAATAAGAAATTTTATGAAAATAGGTTGCTATTTCATGCATTTAACCCTTTTATCTATGTTTTTATTTTCTCTCTACTTCATAATTAGATAATAATTTAATTAATGGACACGAAAGATACAAGAAATTTGGAGATAATGTGATCAAAAATAAAGTTGAAGGCAATTATTTGTTGAAAATGTAGATAAAAATATGTACAAATTTGGGAAATGCGAGGGTGGTGCATAGGGCTGTAAACGAACCGAACGAACACGAACAGAGGTTTGTTCATGTTCGTTCGTTTAACTTAACCGAATAAACGAACGAACACGAACGGTAAACGAACGAAAATCTTTGTGTTCGTGTTCGTTCGTTTAGAAATAAGGTGTGTTCGTGTTCGTTTGTGTTCGTTCTTTAACATGCTAAACGAACGTAAACGAATGAACATAAACGAACGGGCTAAACGAACATAAACGAATAGATTAAACGAACATAAATAAATATTATTTGAATTCAAAGTAAATAAATAAAAGATTATATATTAAATTTAATATATAAACGAACGAATATAAACGAACGGTAAATGAACGAACGTTCACGAACATAAATGAACGAACGAGACTCTTGTTCATGTTCGTTCGTTTAACTTAACGAACAAAAAAATTTGTTCATATTCGTTCATTTATTAAATAAACGAACATAAACGAACTTCTCGCCGAACGGTTCACAAACGGTTCGTTGAACGTTCGGTTCGTTTACCGCCCTAGGTGCACCCCTGGTTCGATTTATTGTAGGATATGGACCATCATGGCTCCATTTCATGTTGGTACAAGTACTAGCCAATAGCCATAACTTATTTTTATAAAACTAATGAAATGTTTCAAAGTATAACCCAATCCGGCTGCACTGACACAAAATGGCAGCAAAATACGGCAATAAAATCCGATATCAATCATCTTAATTTTCTAAAGTGTATATATATATATATTATATATACAACAAAAAATGGTAAACCAATAAAATTATATAATGACGAAAATTCGATACCTTAGCGATTTTCCTAGCCCGAAAATGGTTTCTCTAACCAGGGAAGGAAATAACCGACTTCTTTACGACATACAAATCTTTCTAGTTTTGGCTACCAATTTTCCGGTGCCGCTTTGAACTGAATCTTCTGTCTCTCCGTCGTCTTGCTGACGTGATCTTTGTGATATTACTTACACTAAGTTCCGTGGATGTTTCCAAGGCTGAAATGTTTCGTGTTACATCAATCGGGGTGGAGGGTGGTGGCATAAAAACAGCAACTGCACCAGGAGGAGGAGGTGGCAGCAGTGGTGGTGGTGGCCAGTGCTCCAGAATATCTCTGTGGTATCCCTGAGATAGATAAAGAGAAAGAGGAACCAACAGGATCAGCATCATCCAGAAAGAAAGTTGTATCTGACAGAGTTGACTTTTAAGGCCAACAGAACTCCAAAAATATAGCAAATTCTTTAAAATCTTGAAAAACGGCGATTTCAAAATGAAAACATGTTCTTCTCAAGACATAAATTGTTGACTTTTGAAAGTCAAAGTCTATTTTAGTAAAATCAACAAGTTTTTATCACCTGAACTACAAAGTTTCGCCTTTGACAATCCCAGAACATATGAAGGGTCCAGTTCGTTTTAGACATGATCTTGTCCCTAACCGTTGAGAAACTAATCTGATCTCTTGAAGTAAACCGATCAACTTCATTGAACCAAAGACAAGTAAAAAGGTTCGAGATGGGAATATGCTCTCGTATCACCACACATCCTTCGGGAACATCTGCACAATAACAACAAAATGAAACAAAACCTCACTGATCCACAAGATTCATGTGTAACAACACGTGGAACCCCATATTACTCTCTGAAAGATCCCTTGAGGAGTAAAAGGAGGTTTCATCGTATATTGAAGAGAAAAGGACCAATTCTAGCCCAACACACCCCTCCAACAGAGGCTAGACGAAAACAGATTGTCCACAAGCATCTAGAGGGGGCTACAAGAGCACAGATCGCCCCAGAGTGTTGAGTCCTTAAAGTGGTAGACCTTTGGTTTTGATACCAAATAAGAATGTGTGGAACTCCACTAGATTACCCTCCAGATAAAGAGGGGTATAAGGGTAGCTTAACTGGTAAGACAATAGGTTTGCCCCCATTGGTCACTGGTTCAAGTCCCCTCAGGGCCACTGCAGGGTTTGTTTGGCTGTTAAGTTCAGGACCCCATGGAATTTAGTCAAGCTGCGGGCAAACTGGCCCGGACACCCATGTTTACCAAAAAAACCATAACTACTAAAGCTAAGCGTTAGATTTTGTTAATAAATGAAGTGCATATTGTACCACTTCTAATAGGAAGCTTCGCCTCTGAATATGGGGTTAAGCCCTCCATTTTATAAAAGTTGATCTGGAAGTCGATGGAGGCATTGTCATACTTTGAAGCTGCTTTATTAGCTTCAGCTTCTACAAACACGTCAAACCGCTTGTAATGCCTAGATATCGCAAAACTAGCATTCTTCCTCCACAAATACCTGAAATTTTACACAAAATTCAAAGTTTCAACTTTTTTCCTAGGACAACTGAACCATGACCTCCACCAAAAGGTGAACTAAATGACGATATACCCTTGCAAAGTACATTCTACATTCAAATCAAAGTGAATCCTGTGAACTAAAAGGAAAGCAACTACCTTTGCAAAAATCTTGAAGGTTTCTAGAAAAGGAAATGTTTGCTTTTTGCAAAGATCTTTAAGACTACATTGGTGGCTTGAAACGGTATCAGAGTTCAAGTTTTCTGCAAGATATCATGTTCATGTTTTTCCCCTTCATCTTATAAATGAAAATATGAATCTATTCAGCTTTATCATAGTAATCTACTCAGACAGCCATCTATCGGCTTAACTTTTATATCTATATATATATATATATATAGAGAGAGAGAGAGAGAGAGAGAGAGAGAAAGGTTCATATGAGCACAATAACTAAATAAGAGAATAAGAAAACAGTTGAATTACATGTGATTTTACACTAAAATCACGAATAAAACCACATGTCACGTCGCCCACACACCCTTTTGTGGACCGTTAATGTGAAATCACATGTATTTTTTAACATGATTTGGACGTTTTCATATTCTCTTATTTAGTAACCATTCTCGTTTGAACCTACCTCTCTATATATTAAGAGGCACAATCATTTGTTCATATCAACTTTACAAACTCATCTGAGCCATTCATTTTTTTATTCCATGGTTAAGATTAAATGGGAGGTTACAAAATGATGAAAAAGGAAAGAAATCAAATTGAACTAAATGGAGGGTTTGTTAATTTTGGAACAAATTGTTTTTATTTTTGGAAGATAATCATATACTATTTTTGGAAGATAATCATGCTTTATATGGAGTTCGTGTAAAGTTCATAGTGTTGTTTAATCTATGAACTTCGACTATTCCGACTTTTTTACCCAAGTTCACAGGTGAAACAATGATTTTTGTTTAAAGTCCATAACGTTGTTTCATGTATGAACATTGGCTGTTATAAAAAATTTACCTAAGTGCATAGGTGAAACTAGAAGTTGAATAAGATAACTAAGGAAATTCAAACAAAGTAAATGAGAAAATTAAGGAATGTGATATCAATATATGAAAAAGACGAAAATACCCGGTTAACCAAGTTTGTACTAATTAGGCCGTTAACAAAAGAAGGTGGCTCTATATATCAATACATGAGTTGGCATTCGATCTTACACAAGACGAAGAGATTTTAACATTGTTTCGAAAGATAATAATACCTTTCAAGAATTTGATAAGGATCCACAACAAGCTCAAGTTTCCCATCCACCCATAGAGAATAGTGAACATTTGGGAAAAGCCTGTGTAGTAGAAGTTTCGGAACCTACACATATGTACCTTCATTTAGAATATTGTCTATTTTGTGGAAAAAGTAACTACTGCAAAACCTCAAGTAATCGCTCAATAGTTCATTAAGCTAAATAGCCCCTTATCGCACCCACAACATCTAAATAAAGAGCTTAGCTAACATCGGGATGATACTATACCTTTCCATTGCGTCTTGGATCAGTATAAGGTAGGTTGTGGACAACAACAATTCGCCATAGTCCTATCCTCTTGCTATCGTCAAGATCACTTGAATTTCTCAAAAAGCTTGCTGTTTCTTCATCGACAAACATGAAAAAGCAAACATTTTTCTTTGCGGTTTCACTGATGTTCTTGGGCTGTTGAATCAAATCATAAGCACCTGAAAAACTTTAATCATTAGAAACAATCAACAGTTTAGAAGTAGCAACTTTGAGCAGATCGTTATAGGATGATACCAAATATGGCCGACGCAACCACCACTCCCCGACACTCATCCATCTCAAAAAGATCCGAATCATCAATGTCAAATCCTGTATTGCGTCCGGGTTTATCTCCTCTGACAAATCTGTTGGCATTTATATCCATCAACCAAACAAGAATCAGTGAAGAATCAACAAATTCTTTTCAAGAAAATGGTGTTGTTGATTTTGAAGAAAATCATACCCGCAATGCACTGTCATTGACTCTTTTATGTCGTAAGATTCAAGTCTTTGCTTCAGAGAAGGATACCCACCAAATTCTGAGCCTCCAAACTCACTTTTTGTTAGATTTTCTTCATGAATGTAAGTCAGATTTTGGAGGACTGGAGAAAACGATGGGGCTTTTGGCATTAACGCAATGGCTTCTTCCACAGGAAGGTAACACACCGGACATGCTGACAGACAGGGAAAACGGAGATTTTTCAAAAGGAAACAGAAAAGTGAAATCGGAATGTGAGATAGCAGTGGTTTGAAAACTTACGGCGTGGGCCAGTTCTTTTCTTGTCTGCTGGTGGAGGCGGCATTTTGAAGGTTTCACAAAAATGGTCAGGAGGAAGAGTATATCCGGTGAAATAAGCAGGTGGTGATGGTGGTGGCTGTGGCGGTGGTGGTGGTGGCGGTGCAGCTGTGATTCTTTTGTCGTCATCCAAAGTAATCCTAGTTTCATGATTCATCAAGGAAGAATCATTCGCTTTAACGTTTTCTATATCAACACTCATTGGTGAAAAACTTCTGATGGAATTGTTCTTGAATTCTAAGGTTTGGATAGGATGAACTTCTTGTGTAACTTCGCCTGCAAATAACCACACCCCAAACACACTCACAATTGATCAAATTCAACTATGACCAGACAAATGAAGTTAAGACATCAATAAAAATGCTGGATAACAGAAACCCCCAACTAGATTGAGCTCAAGATCAACCAAAATGCAATATATATATATATATATATATATATAGACTTGGGATCATGTGAGACCAGCCTGTTTTCGTGAGACCCGTGAGACCAGCATTTTACACTTGAAACTTCACAGCAAAAATGCTGTGAAGGTGACTTTTTAAAAC